TTGCGGAGTCGGGAGCCTCAGCGGAAGACGTGGCCTTAGACTTACGAAAGAGTTCCAGACTGTGCATGAGCATGGGCCCCATGGGCATGGGCCCCGTGGGCATGGGCCCCATGGGCATGGGCCCCATGGGCTGCGTCCTGGAAGCTAACTTGGCACTTCCCCACAACTCAGAGAACTCACCTTAGCATCTGTTGAGTTGGGGGGAGCTTGGTAGCCAACTCTATGGCTCCGACTTGAACACGCTTCCAGCTGATAGGGCCGGCAGATAGGACACACAAGGCAGCGTCTCCAATTGAAACCTCCGCAGACAAGGCCCCACAGCCCCAGAAATGGGGCAGAGAAGTTCGGACGCTACCGTTTTGAGCTATCTTCCCAGTGACTTGGCTGCACAGTATGCCGACTTCCCCTTTAGGAAGGCTCGGCCACTTCCACTGGGAGCTGCGCAAGATCAGAGCCCCTTGAGTGGGATCCTTGTTTCAACAGAGCCTCGCAATGCCAGAGACTCAAAGGCCAGAGCGGACAATGCACAGGGTGGCATCTAGAAGTGCCATGCTAAGGGCAGAGACTGAAGGCCGTGTGACAACATGCGACAGCGGTGTTCTATCTGCCAACGACTCCAAGCACAGCACGTGCCGGACTGAGAAGGTTCACGACCAGCGCTCCCCCCCCGAGGAGCCTTTGGAACACGTTGCGCCGAGAGATTGTACGCCGTTGAAACACCGCCTTCACAGCAATCGCCTACTGCGGTGCCTTTCGCCTTTCCCCGTTACCCCAGATGATATGGTCATGGTGACAGTGCCCTGAACTTCTTGAGCTCAAGCCCAAGTAGCTCGTGCCTCAGAGGGCAGCACTGCAGGGTGCGGGAAGGGCAGGAAGGGTGTGCCACAGTCGGGAAAGATTGAACCTTTTCGCGGAAGGCATGGCAGCTTAAGAGGTTGAGCAGTCGCGCTCTAAGCCTCATCACACCCGCACCAGGACTTTTGGGCTTCGTGAGCAAGCTTCTGGAAGTCGTGCTGAACATAAGACCAGCCGGTCGCCCTGCCTCCGGGAACTGAGCGGACATGGAGAAGAATGGTAAAGTCAATCCGTGCCGCAAGCTTGTGTTGCGGGTCAAGGTCCCAGCCTTGCTCCTTGCGGCATGTCCACATACTAAGCAGATCCCGTTGAAAAACTAAAAAACGTACATAAGAGAGCATCCGAGTCCTCGGTCGTGGCGGTTCGGGTCACTCAGTGCCTGTCAGCGGGCATTTTCAGCAACGCTGAACCCAGAAGCTCCACCAAAGCCCTGCCTGAGGTCCCTGTGTGTCACATACGTCTCGATGGCGACAGCGACAACCTAGCCTGACAACCACGGGCACCAGGAGGCATCTACGACGCCTCATGCCAATTTCAGAGTTCAACCTGCACAGGACCCCTCTCCAGCGCGTGCTTTGGGGGCGCCTTGCCGTCAAGATGCAAGCGACGGAGGTCAAGTCAGATCCTGCCAGTGACAAGGAGGTCTAACGACATGGACTCAGGAACCCCCAGAAACAGTGCTTCTGGGCCCGAATGCGAACACCCAACAACACCACTTGGTGTGGAAAGCTGCTTGCAAATAGACAATACGAGTCATGCTACTAAGTCGCGCTAGAGCACAGCCTTCACTTAAGGGAGCCTTTTTTTTTGAGGATTCGGGCGGACTCCGCAAATTTGCAGTGAAAAAATGGTGCAGGCCTTTTGCTCAACCCACACAAGTCCACTGCAAACAGGCCTTCATTGGCACATATGGGAGCGGATTGCAAAGCATGCCTGTGGGTCACTGCTCCAACGCTAAAGTTTTACACGGAAGACGCGCAGATAGCCTTGGACAGGGCACAAACAGCTTCGGGCAGCATGCTTCAAGTCATGCTTCGGCGTGCCACGGCTGCTGAAATGCTGGATCTTATCGAATTTCTACATCCGGCCCCTTAGGCCCCTTCCCGAAAACATTAGGAGAGTCCAAAAAGCCTCTGAGTTGAACACAAAAACAAACGCCCTCGCGCGACCCGGGTAGACTCGCATGTCTCTGCTTCATCTTCTCGCACTCTATCTCGAAGCACCGACTGCCATTGTCAACCCTCCGGCTCCCCTGAAGCTTCCATGGGAAAGCCCTCTCTGGTTCCTCAAGAGGTTCATTTCAGAACCTCGGGGTTTCTCCTTTGCACTTTCAGCGCTAAACCTCCATTTGCCCTGTCTTTCCATGCGAGAACTGTTTCCTCTCTATGATTCAATAGCCTCTAGACCCCCCTCCTCCCTCCCCCCACCCCCCTCAAAAAAAGTATGAGCACAAACCGCGAAAAAACGAACACAAAATGATGAGCGGGCCAAGTTCCTCAAGCTCCCACACCGGCCGTCAAGAGCTATGAACCCTTTATGGCAAGCCAAGGCGTGCCATCCGCGGCCATTTTGCTCCGGCACGAAGGCTGCCAAGCGAAAAGTTGAAAGCTTCTCCACCCGTGGATTCCTGGGCTACCCATCTCCTTGAGGTCTTCTGGGCCATGGTGTGATGCTCAAGGATTCGCCTTCAATCTGCAAGAAAGATTTCTGCTCAGTTGTGAACAACTGGGGCATGTAATTAACTCGAACCACATCGTCATCAAGGGCTTGACATTGACATGCCTTTGAAGGCTTTAAGGCATAGAAGAATAGAAGAGATGCTTCGACCAATGCCGCACTCTGACCCGCGCCGGTGCTCTCAGAACCAGCTCTGGGGCCTTGGTACACCATGAATTTCACGGAGTTCCTTCTAACGTTCCATGCGCTTTTTTGGTTTTTGAGGGGGAGGGGGAGGGGGAGGGGGAGGAGGAGGAGGAGGAGGATCCTTGAGGTGGACCCTTGAGGAAACAAAGGAATTACAAGAAATACATGGCTAAGGCCAACAGAATGACTTGTGGTGCTGAGACGTTTAGGAGAAAGTGGGGGGTGGAACCCTGCAAAGTTTGACAATCCATCAACACCCGTGCAGCTTCGACATGGTACCTGGTACCATTTCGAGAGCTGAATACTATTTTGGGCATATTTCGGGAGCATGCCCTATACCTCTAAGAACCACCCCCTAAATGGAATTTAGTGGAAGTTCCTTAGGGGGGCCGGAGTCGCGCCACCCCTGGCTGCTTTCCCTTTTTGCGCCGTGGTTCCGGGGCCATTTGCGCGAAAATGGTGGGCATGCAATGCTGCAAGCATTCGCACAGGTTCCCCCCCTGGCAGCAATAAGAACTCGGCATAGTGGTCCTCGTTTTTTTTTAGGGTCTAGGATTTAGGGTTTAGGGTCTAGGATTTAGGGTTTAGGGTCTAGGATTTAGGGTTTAGGGTTTAGGGTTTAGGGTTTAGGGTTTAGGGTTTAGGGTTGAACAGTTCACGCAAAGCGCACTTTGGGGAGCAGGCTAGGGAGAGAGCTGCCTGGAAGGCCCTGAAGTGAGCCAAAAGGGTCCATCTTTGTGGGGTGCGTCACTGTCGCAGGCTCCAGGGTTCCAGGCGAATCTGCTATTTAGGGTTTAGGGTTTAGGGTTTAGGGCTTAGGGCTTAGGGTTTAAAGTTTAGGGTTCAGGGTTTAGGGGGATCGCTGCGACAAGTGACCTAGCTAGGGAAAGGGTGCAGTGAAGATCCCCAGCCGGCTGACCAAGAACAAGGTGCACAAGTGTTTAGCCCCTGAACAAACCTGAAAAATCCCCTAAAATCCCCTAAAAACACCGAAAACCATATAAAGCAAAAGTAACTTAGAGAACTACCCTCAGGCTCCGACCCATGACCATGAGTTGCTTGCATGAAACCCCAAAAACCCTCAACCCTAACCCTACACCCCTAGAGGGCACGCAAAGTAGTGGCTTTAAGGCCCTTCTTGGGCCCATAAAACTCCAGCTTTCCATCCGGCGGCTCGTGTCCGTTCTAACAAAGATGAACGCCGCTCTCTTGGCTGAACAGCTAGTATACTCCCAGGCTCCCAGACCCTTGCACTCTGCCCGGCTTCTCAGGGATCTCCACAACTGGGTCGTCAGCACGGGGGGCTTCAAGAAAAAGGGGGGAAGCTCTTGAAGGCCAGAGAGACATCGCCCTGCGCATGGCGAGTCAAAACCGGGGCAATGGTGCCCCCAAACCCGCGCATGCGCAACGAGAGGCCCTGAAGGGGCCAAAACCCATTGGAATCATTGGAGCGAGGAGAAGCCCCCAAGTCTGCTGCTGGTGCTTTCTCAGCTCCCTGATATCTACCTTCAGGAAACTCGTCAAGATGTTGGGGGACATGTAGTGCTGGTACCACTACTCGCAAGCACCGCAGTAAAAGCGGTACAGCCTCTGAAGAGTCACGACCATAAGCACACGCAACAAAAACGAAGAGGGGTGAATCATCATCACAGGTAGGGCTGCTGTAGGCCATGCTGGGTACCTTTGGAACGGAGAGCTGATCCTTCAGTACCAGCGCTTGAAGGTGCCCCCCTGGAGTTACGAGCTCTTCGTAGGGAATTCGGGGGAACTCTTGCGGTCTTTTATGATATCGCGTACCCTGTCTCCCAAGGGATTAGACTGGGATCCTTTTCTCGGGTTCCCTATGAAGAACGAGTAAGTGGAAGTGCAATGCCTTGCGCAGAACAAGGGCCTGAATTCTATCGCCCTGAGGAAGCAAACAGCGATGTTTCTGCTCCTAAAACCACCGAAACTTCTGACAAACATCCTGTTTCAACCACTGCTGAGTCAAGTAGCAGGCTCTCCACGCACACAACAAACAACAACCATGCCGACAAACTGTGCTGTGAAGTTCTGTGAAGGATGCTTCCTCGGCTCAGGTGAGACATCCCAGTGGTCCGGCACCCACGCCTCCACAGGCAAGCGAGACCTCGAGACCTCAACCAGACCTGAAATGATGATGTAGGACCCTCTTGGTGGCTTGCACTGACGTGAAGGCCTCCTCGGTTCCTTGACCTCCCTACCTACCTTCTTTGATGATGTAGGGACGCAGGATTCCTGGTTGTGAGGGCTTCGGCGTCCTGTCAGCAGAACGGCCGAAACATGAGGTTGGCCATGTGCGGCTCCTCCTGGCAGGGGATTTCGCAAGCCCCCCCCCACGCGAAGTCGCCCTACGTCCTATGCCAAGGAAGAAGATCCGCGGGGGTTGTTCTCCAGGACAGGACAACTGGACTGGCCTTTACTGGGGCATCCCAAGAATCCCTTCCCAAAACCCGTCCGGGTGTGGCGAGCACTCGAAGGTGCGGACGTCGAGATCGTCGACCTCAGATTGAGAGAACTCGGAGGGCACTTTTTCAAGAGGGGCGCTTGAAAACGGATGCGGCAGAGGGCCCCAATCAGCATCAACATCAGAGTCATCATCGAAGTCAGAATCACAACTCAGAATCATCAAAGGAACCGTAGCAACAGGAATACTGGCAAGACTGCTGATGATGATGATGATGATGATGATGATGATGATGATGATGATGATACAAATAGCAACTACCTGGTACCAGCAAATATTGCTCCAGTACTAGACATGGAAACATGCTACCAAACCAGACCATTTCCCGCATTAAGAAATGCTTGGCAGCGCGCCATGATGCGCTTCCGTCCAGGCTTTACCTTCTTGGGTCTTCCGAAGGGGGTTTAGGGTTCAGGTTTTTTTGAGGGTCTAGGGGGCTCTGGGAGCAGATGGAACTTGAAACCCTTTGTGGCCATGGGGAAAGGGATTGCTTGGGGGGGCTTTACCCGAATAGCTCCGACCAACAAGACTGCCTGAGGTCTGCCCCTGGTGCATTCCGGCAAAGGGCAGAAGGCTCTCAAAGGCAATCCGCAAAGAAACAGCTTCACTTTACAACAAGACCCCCCCCCCCCCCACAGACAAAAAAAATAGAAAAGGACTTGAATTTTCGGAGCCCCGACATGCATGACGCACTTACGGGGCCCCCTGGCCCTGAGCAGCGGAGCCACCCCACCCCGCCAAGCCTGGATGTCGCAGACTGCTCCCAGATTCCCGCACATGTCGCAGTAGTTCCTGAGCTTCTGTGGAAAGGTTCAGGGTTGAAGGCCTTAGGGCTGCGGGTTAAGGCTAAAATCCGCCGAGGCCTGGGTATAGGTTGTCAGAACAGGCACACCCAAAACCACTTTTCGGACGGGTCCGTAAGTGGATGGTTCGCCAGAACCAGACACAGTTCAAGCCCCTCCCCCTCCCCCCCGCCCCCCCAACCCCCCCCCCCCCCCCCCCCCCCCCCCACCCCCCCCCCCCCAACCCCCTTCCGCCCCCTGCCCCGCCCCACCGGGCCCCCCTACCCCCCCCCACAGCCACCACACAATATTGGTGAGCGGGTTTTAGACTCAACTGGTGTGAGCACGGCGGGGATGCATTACACGAGCAGAAGAATCTAAGCTTGAACCTAAACCCTGAACCTTAAACCTAAACCTTAAACCTTATAAGCCCGAAGCACACCCAAAGAGTGAACCTTGAGCCCTAAGCCCTCAATCCTAAACTAACCCTCAACCCTAAACCCCAAACCATAAACCATAAACCATAAACCCGGAACCCTTTTTGCTTCAGGGCTCCTGTGGTAGCCCTAAACCCGGAACCCTAAACCCTAAACCCAACCCTTATTGCTTGGGGTCCAGCGCCTTGGGCGCTGCGGAATCACCATGCTCACGCGGATGCGCTGGGCCGGGCCGAGGCGGGTCGCGTAGCGTTAAAATTACGATTTGAGACAAGACTTTACAACAATAACACAGACCCCCCAAAGAGTCTCGGGAATCCCGAATATGTGGGTGTGGTGCTCTGTAACAACCCCCTCCCAAACCGTTTTTGTCAGGAAAAAAACCGGCTTAGGTCCCTGAATGAAGGGTTTTACTGGGTCTAGGGGCCTCAAGGAGCTCCGAGACTGTAAGACTTTAAGGGGGGTCGAGGGGCCGCAACTGGGCCGTAGGAAGCTTTCAAACTTTGAGGGGGTTTATAAGGGCTCCAAGGAGCTTAGGGACTTCAAGACTTTAAAGGGGTTTAGGCGCTGCAAGAAAATCTCAAACTTCAAGATGCAGGCATCAAGAAGCTTAGAGACTCCGAGGGAGTTTAGGGGCCCCAAGAAGTTTAGATACCTTAGCGGCGCTTAGCGGCTTCTAGAAGATTCGAAACTTTAAGGGAGTTTCGGGGCTCAAGAAGTTACATGAAAAACTGAAGGGAGTTTCTGGGCCTCAAGAAGCTTACAGTCGAGACTAATACGGACCCTTCTGGGCCTTCCCAAGCCATTTTTTGGGGCCTTCTGGAGGCCATGTTTAATTTAAGGCCCTGCTGGGGCCTTTTTGGGGCCGAGCCACGACTGCGGAATAGAATCCTGTAAGAGATGCCACATAAACAACGAACGGCAGCTCTCTTCTATTAAAGGAGTCTTTCTCTTTCATGTCTCCCTCTCTCTCTCTCCTCTTTCTTTGGTGTCTCTTGCATTTTGCCTTTGCTTGGACTCCATTTCTCAGATGCTGAGCAGTAATCTGGAGTAGGTGTTCAGAATTTTAGCCGCAAACGACAACCCTCTCACGGCGTGTCGGGGTTCACAATTTTGGCCGTGAACGACAACCCTCTCGCAGTTCACGACGTTAAGGGGATTCTACTGAAAGGGGTTTTTGGCCGTTACGGAGACTATAGAGACTTTAAGAGCTTAGAAGCTTTAACGGAGTTCAGCGGCCTCAAAAAGCTTAATTAGAAACCTTAAGGGAGCTTCGGGGACTCAAGGAGTTTCGGGGCCTCAGGAAGCTCACATTCGAGGCTTTAAGGGAGTTTCGGGGCATCAAGAGGCGCAGGACTCTAACCGAGTTGAGGGGCCCCTAAACTCCACTAACGTCTCGAAGCTTTTGGAAGGACCTCGGACTTCCTTAAAGTGCTACACTCTGTGAAAAGTTTCTATTCTTCTTGAGGCCCTTAGCCCCGTTAAGGTCTCCCTTAACGTCTCAAACAAGGGAATTAATTGGATTAAGGATTTCAGACAGAAGCAAGCAATCCTGTCGATCCTTTAAGGGATATATTCAAACGATCTTTGACGGTGACGAGCCGGCACCGGGGTAACAAACGTCTGGGGGGGGTTTGGCTGCTTTCCTTCCAGAACATCATGTCGGATCTGGCTGTATTCCTCTTTTGTTGGCTCAATTTTGGGCTGCGGGGGTTCAAAATAAATCAGCCGGAAGCACCGGCCCCAGATTCTCCGAATCTCTCGAGGCTCTGAAAGTCTCTCGAAGCGATTTGCTGAAGCCTAGACAGCACGAGGGCCCCGAAGCCTCTACATCCTCCACCGTCAGGGGATGAAGCAAAACGACACAATTGGTTAATAAGTACCCCTAAACCCTAAACCCTAAACCCTAGACCCTAAACCCTAAACCCTAAACCCTAAACCCGAGAGCGTCCGCTCGGCTGCTGGGAAGACCGGTACACCCAAGAAGCGACTCTTGGCCCTTGCGCGCCCAGGCACGGCGCGGAAAAGACGGTGAGGCAGCGCCCCAGCCTCTGCCACTCGTACCCCTGGCGGAGATTTTGCCCCCTAAACCCTAAACCCTAAACCCTTACTTTTGGGTGCCCCGTACAGGGCCCCAGATGGCTCAGGGGACTGAGGTAAAATTTGTGTGGACCCGTATTGAAACTGGATTAGACTTTGACTAAAGAGATTGAAATATTTGTTTAACTCTATACCAAGACATATTTACCTATGTGATTCTAAATATATATATATATATATGGTCACCCCCCCCCAATGGACCCACCGCGGGTGGCAATCTTTGCAAAAGTACCGCAAATACCGATAAAACCTATGCTGTCTGGTGATTTTCCGGTGACCGGATTTTTGACTGTATTCCTTAATTCACTCTCTCACACACACGGATGGTGTTTCTTTCTGTTGGCATTTGTTTATAATTTAAGACTTAGGCATTTAAACCTAAGCCTGCAAAAAAACCCTTAACCTTTAAACCCTGTAGGGTTGAGGTTTCAAGGTTAAGGGTTTAAGATTTAGGCATTTGAACCCATGCCGGCAATTAAACCCTAAGCCCTTAACCTTTGAATTCTATAGGGTTAAGATTTTTACAGGTTTAGGTTTAAGATGTAGGCATTTAAACCTGAGTCTGCAACTAATTTTAAACCCTTAACCTTTAAACCCTGTAGGGCTAAGGTTTAAAGGCTTAGGGTTTAAGATTTAGCCATTTAAACCTGTAGCCAAGCCCTTAACCTTTAAACCCTGTAGGGTTAAGATTTTGAAGGTTTAGGATGTAAGATTTAAGCATGTAAATCTCAGACTTCAATTAATTTTAAACCCTTAACCTTTAAACCCTGTTGGGCCAAGGTTTAAAGGTTTCGGGATTAAGATTCAGGCATTTAAACCGATTCCGGCAATTAACGCTAAGCCTTTAACCTTAAAACCCTATAGGGTTAAGATATTTAATGGTTTAGGGTTTAAGTTTCAGGTTTAGGTATTTAGACCTATGCCCGACTGTTCATATTGAACCCGTAACCTTAAACCCTATAGGGATAAGATTTAGAGGTTTAGGATTCTTTACTTAGACATTTAAATCTAAGCTTGCAATCAAACCGAAACCCTTAACCTTTAAAACCCTATAGGGTGAAGGTTTAAAGTTTTAGGGTTTAAGATTCAGACATTTAAACCTAAGACGGCAATTAACAATAACCCTGAACTTTTAAACCCTATAGGGTTAAGGTTTAAAGGTTTGGGGTTTAAGATTTTGGCATTTAAACCTAAGTATGCAATTAATTTGTCACCCTTAGCACCCTTAAACTTTGTAGTGTGAAGGTTTAAAGGTTTAGGGTTTAAGATTTAGACATTTCAACCAAAGCCCATAGAGTTTAAACCTTAAGGGTTTAAGGTTTAGGCATCTATTCCTTAACCCTAAACCCTCTAGGGTCAGGACCCTAAAGCCCTCGGCAATCAAGCCTAAACCCTTGACCTTCAAACCCCATAGGATGAAGGTTTGAAGGTTTGGGGTTTAAGGCTAAGGCATTTAAACCTAGAGGGCATTTAAGCCTTAACCCTAAACCCTTCAGGGCCAGAACCTTAGCACCCTATATGGATCTAGCACCTGCAGGTATACATCGGTTTTTAAACCATTACACCCTGTAAGAAGGTTTAGGGTCTTTTCGGGGTCTGTCTCTAAATTTCTCACGGGGTTAACCCTGCAGGGTTTAAAGTTAAAGGTTTAGGATTAAAGGTTTAGGCAATACCTGAAGGATTAGAAGTCTTCTCCTGGTAAAACCATCTTTTCTCGAGAAAAAGATTGTTTTTCGAAGGATGGTTGCTCAAAACCATCTTTTTCTCGAGAAAAAGATGGTTTCCAACCAAAAAACCATCTTTTTCTCGAGAAAACAAAAAAAACCAAAAAAACAAAAAAAACAATCTTTTCCAAAACTATGGGGCTGGGGCCTCCAAAAGATGGTTTTTTTGGTTTTCTCGAGAAAAAGATGGTTTTTTTGGTTCGAAACCATCTTTTTCTCGAGAGAAAGATGGTTTTTGGAGGTCTTCTCCTGGGAAAACCATCTTTTTCTCGAGAAAAAGATGGTTTTTGGAGGTCTTCTCCTGGCAAAACCATCTTTTTCTCGAGGAAAAGATGGTTTTACCAGGAGAAGACCTCCAAAAACCATCTTTTTCTCGAGAAAAAGATGGTTTCGAACCAAAAAACCATCTTTTTCTCGAGAAAACCAAAAAAACCAAAAAAACCAAAAAAAACAAAAAAACCACCAAAAAAACCATCTTTTCCAAAACTATGGGGCTGGGGCCTCCAAAAGTTTGGTTTTTTTGGTTTTCTCGAGAAAAAGATGGTTTTTGGTTCGAAACCATCTTTTTCTCGAGAAAAAGATGGTTTTACCAGGAGAAGACCTCCAAAAACCATCTTTTTCTCGAGAAAAAGATGGTTTCGAACCAAAAAACCATCTTTTTCTCGAGAAAACCAAAAAAAACCAAAAAAAAAAAAAAAAAACCATCTTTTCCAAAACTATGGGGCTGGGGCCTCCAAAAGATGGTTTTTTTGGTTTTTTTTGGTTTTCTCGAGAAAAAGATGGTTTTTTGGTTCGAAACCATCTTTTTCTCGAGAAAAAGATGGTTTTACCAGGAGAAGACCTCCAAAAACCATCTTTTTCTCGAGAAAAAGAGGTTTCGAACAAAAAACCATTTTTCGAGAAAACCAAAAAAACCAAAAAATCAAAAAAAAAAACCATCTTTTCCAAATATGGGGGCTGGGGCCTCCAAAAGATGGTTTTTTTGGTTTTTTTTTTGGTTTTCTCGAGAAAAAGATGGTTTTTTGGTTCGAAACCATCTTTTTCTCGAGAAAAAGATGGTTTTTGGAGGTCTTCTCCTGGGAAAACCATCTTTTTCTCGAGAAAAAGATGGTTTCGAACCAAAAAAACCATCTTTTTCTCGAGAAAACCAAAAAAACCATCTTTTGGAGGCCCCAGCCCCATAGTTTTGGAAAAGATGGTTTTTTTTGTTTTTTTGGTTTTTTGGTTTTTTGTTTTTTTGTTAGTTTCTTGTTTTGTTGTTTTTCCCTTGATCTGGCTAGGACTCGGATGCCACCCGCGGTGGGTCCATTTGGGGGGGGTGAGCATATATATATATATATACATATTAAGCTATGTGAAACTCTGTATTGACATATACATACCTATGTAGATATAGCTGTGTTAAACGAATCTTGCTAAACTCATGCAACACTACTAAACACATATATATTTGTATACATATATATAGACATAGATATAGATATAGATATAGATATATAGATATATAGATATATAGATATATAGATATATAGATATATAGATATATAGATATATAGATATATAGATATATAGATATATAGATATATAGATATATAGATATATAGATATATAGATATAGATATAGATATAGATATAGATATAGATGTGTTAAACTAATCTTGCTAAACTCATGTAACACTGCTAAACAACGAAAACGAGCCTTACAAGTACGAATAGGTCGGCCCGGGCACAGGAAGCCCCAAAAGTCTGAAACGGGCCCCCACTTGATGAACCGCTCCCCAGCCCCCCCCCCCCCCCCCCCCAACTCGTCGGGCTTGGCTCTGAAGCCCCCGCAGCGAGGGGCCAGTAACAGGGGCAGTAGCAAGGCAGTGGCAGCTGCGACTCCAGGCAAGCATTTACTATGTTCGTTTCCCCCGAAAAAGGGGCACCCCTTTCACACACTGCCAAAACGTTGACTCCTGGTTGCAGAGCCCACCCAAACAATTATGGTAAACCTATTCTTGGATCTGCTTGGAGGCACACAAAGCCAGGCGCCTGGCCTCCGACTTCATCTCATGCGATCGGATGACGCACGAGAGGCCGTTCTGCGCGCAAAACCCTCAGCTGCACCGTGCCATCACTGCAAGCAATCATAGGAAAAAGATGATCTTCAATTCCGGGCAGATGCGGACAAGATGTACTTGTGGACATTTGCAGGCGCTCTCATTAATGACAAAGATGTAGCAATTCTAGAATGGAAAGACGTTGTCAAGACATGTAAAAGACCGGCTCCCCCCATCACACCGACTTGGGCACTGTCGAGATGCGTTGAGTCACATCGGGTCCGAAGAGGATGCCACCGCCTCGCAATTCGTTCTATGCAGGTTCCTTTGTTTGGTACCCTGAGCTGAAGGAATATATATGTGATACAAGAGATCCCCCAAACTGGACAAGGGCCCCTCCGTCGTCCGATTTTCATGGACTCTATGGCCTCTGAGAAAGGAGTCAGGAAGCTCTCAGTCTCAATCCCCCTGCCAAAACCCACCCTGACGAGAACGCCCCTGCGGACTCCCAGCGCTCCTCGGGGGGATGGGGCATAGCCATCCCTTTCCATCGGATCCGACCACAGCAGGTCCTGGGAGAGTTGAGTTGGGTTGTAAAGATGATGAAGCTTTTGTCTGTTTTGCTGTCCTGCCACTACATGCTTGCAACAGGGAAAGCCACAAACATGCACGAAACCTCAGCCTTTGCCGCTGGATGCTCTCTGTCAAGCGGCCAGCATCAGCTGGTCGGCGACTTCGTCGGGCTCGCGCTTGCGATCCAGCTGGGCGATCTCGGAGAGGAGTACGCCCTCCTGGGAGTAATCGAACGACGAATCTACCCGCATCTGCGCTCCTTTTTTGCCCTCTATATACCTGGCAGAATGTCCAAAAATCTTCGGCCCTTGAAGGCCCGTGTCCCCCTCCGCCCAGGGCCTTCGAACTGAGGCCGCCGTGGACCACGAAAACGCTGTCGTTGACCTTGTCAAAGAAACTTCTGTTTGGGGCTACTTGCGTCCCGCTTAAAAATTCGGAAGCCAAGAGGAAGCGAAGGGTTTTATGAGTCAAAGGGTCACGAGTGGGGGTGTCGTGCTTACGGTGCCACTTCTGTCCTCGGTTGGGGCCTCAGACTGACATATGGACTTGCATACGGCTGTGTTTTTCGAAACATCCCTGATTCGCTCTGAGACGCCAGAGTTGCCAGAGGCAAATTGTTGAAGGCCTCCGCAAACTTCCGAAACAATTCCTCACCGAGCGGAGTGAGCGGGTCTGGGCAGTTCGGGGATGCGAACATGTCTCTGGCACAAGAAAGCTCCAAGGCTCGTTGCTGTACTTCTGCTCGGTTTCCTGCCTTGGGAGACCGAAAGCAACTACTGAGTCACCACTGCCACCTCTCTGGCCTTATGCCCCCCGCTACAGTGTAGGCCCGACTGACCGAGAGAACCTAAAGAGCCGAAACACTCTCGGGGCATTTCTCGGCATCGCTGCCTCGACGTAAGTCGACGCGTAGCTTAGGGCACATTCCAAACGTAATCCCAATCCCAAGCAATTTGGCATTTCCTACTTCACAGCAAACCTTCACATCGCAACCCTCCATGTCTAGGGACATCAAACAAGAACCACCGACCAGCTACCGGTGCCGACATGCCAACTATACCGCACAACCCACAACAGATTCCAGCCGCATCACTGCCTCATTCGATACTCGCGCCCCCTTACCCAAGAGTTCTAGACGGTGCTCCCCCCACCCCCCCCGAGAGCTTTCTTCGGATTCGGATGGGCAGCATGAAGCCATAGAGCGCGTTCATCCGAACCGCTTCCTCGGCTCGCCAAACCACCCCCCCTTCGTATCGACAACCGAAAGAACTGGCAGCGAGCAAAGAAAGGAACCGCTGCGTCTTGGCTCTGCCAAGCAGCATGGTTACCCCGGTTCAGGTGCACGCAGCTCGGTGCCGCGACCTTGGCGTTCGCAGAAGGGTCTTGAATCACCAAAGGCCTCTAAGAGCTTCTTCTGAAGGTCAGTTTCATGATGTTTCATGTATTTTCATGTGTAGCTCTAGCTGATTGCGTCAGATTCCGTCTTTCTCTTCGAAATCTCGCAAACCCTGGGATGGGCGCCTTCATCGCAAGCAGCAGCAGCGCCACCTCTACAGAAAATTGGCCGCGGTCCACCTTGGAACCACGTTCGGGAGACTGACTTGAAGAGCACTTTGAAAAGGGGTGCCTTTCAGCGGCTACGGGGCAGATTGGAAGAAAAAAAAACAGCTGCACAAAACCCGGATGTTGCCCAAATGCCGAGCCGCAAAGTCGCCATTGAAGAGGTAGTGATTCTGTGGGGACGGGTCCTGAGCTGAACCCGGATTCAAAGCCCCATAGGCCCATAGGTGGCTGAGACGCCCTTGTCATTTTTTCTAAAGAGAGAGAGAGAGAGAGAGAGAGAGAGAGAGAGAGAGAGAGAGAGGGGGGACACGTCAGAGCGGACACCTCCGGGGGGGGCGGGGGGGGAGGCGTCTGTGAAATCATCCCGCAGCTCTTGCTCAAAGGTGCGCCGCAGAGCTCCAAGATGTGCAGCAGATCCCAGAACTGTCCATGGACATCTCCCACCACGTGCCTTATGGAAGGTCGAAGGATGGCTTTTAAAGATGTGGGGAGGGGCTAACATGTGGGTAGAGCTATCATTCCTCTAACAACAAGTGGGAGACTCTAATGCGCTTGTTTGTCTCATCGCAGCCCTGGGCACACCGTGGCTCCAGCTGGCAGCTGCAGCCTCAGCCAAATGATCGATGGAAGGAATCCCAGCTTCCACCCTCAAAACCGACTCGCAGGAAAGAAATGCGACAGGCAGTGGGGACAGCGCCCGTCTGAAACCGAGCTGCCTCACCAGTGTTGGCTGCTCGCCCAGCAGCCGTGCAGCTGCAGCCACGGTGGCGATGGCATCCTCCTGAGGAGCACGACCCCCCCCCCCCACACATCTCGAGCGCAGACTGGGGAGCGTGCCCAATCGAAGAAAGATTGCAATCGCCGTAGACGAGTGCGGCGTGAAGCAAGTCAAACTTCGGCCCTTTTCACTACATGAGAACACCACCATATACCACCATGGATTACAAGGGCACCCTCACACCTCTCTTGGTTTCTGCGTTGCTGCCACATGTTACCATGGTTTACTGCTAACTCCCATCTGCAGGATCCTGGCTGGGCAGCGTCCGCGAGCGCATGGCGTCGATCAGGTCGGACACCGCCGCCTACAGGTCGGAGTCTCCGAGTCGGGTTCTACATCAAATCAAACCTAGTCAAGCCCTTCAACTCAACATTCAACTCAACATCCAACTCAACATTCAACATACTCAACTCAACATTCAACCTGCCAGATGTTGCGGTGCCTGGTCCATGCCAGTCTTCGTGCGTTCGCTGGGGGCGTAGCGCAGCTTACCTGCGCTTTGGTTCCCAACCTTAGTCTCTTTGGCTGCGGGGACGCACCGATGGCGCCGCCGTCTATCACGGGTGTTCGCGGAATGTTGGTCGGAACGTCGAAGGAATGTTGCGCTCGGCGCATGCATTCCCCGCTCCCTGCGGAGGAGACACAGAAACACTTGGAAACACTGCGCGGAAGTCCCTGCAGCCAATCTCTGCAAGCAGGCGGCAGCGACGGCCCTCTGCATCAGCATCCGGGCCTCGCTCGCTCACTTCTTCCTCTTCTTCCTCTTCTTCCTCTTCTTCTTCTTCTTCTTCTTCTTCTTCTACTTTCTTTCCTTGGGGCCAGGGAGACCCCCCGGCGCCTAGGCGCGCCCCGCTGCCGCGTCTCGTTGCTATTCTCTCTCTCTCTCTCTTCTCTCTTCTCTTCTCTCTCTCTCTCTCTCTCTCTCTCTCTCTCTCCCTCCCTCTCTTTGATGACGACAAGGGAGGAGAAGAGCCTTCCCCTTTCCCTTTGAAGGAGCCCTCCAGTTGGGCGCCTGGGCCAGGAAGCCCTGCTCCGAGAGGACCGTGTCCACGCCTCACGAGGCACGTCACCGGGGCCTCACTTAGGGGATCCTCTGCGAGGCTTAAATGGTGAACTATAGGTGAAATGTAAGGCACCTGATTCCCTAACTTCAATCCGGGGGGCATTGATAGCACCTGACTCCCTAACTTCCTACTTTCGGAATTGGTGGGTAGGCCCCCTCAATATTTTCCCCCTCACCTCCTCTCCCCCACCCCTCGCTGCACTCTTTCGGGGGAAGGCTCTCTCTAGGGGAACATCTTGGACCTGCTCTGGCCTCGCTGGTACTCGGTCTGAAAGGCATCAAAGTCAAAAGCAGCTTTCGACAAGGCGGCGGAGACCTCGGGCAAAGCTCAAAAGAGCGCCCGAAGGGCTCAAAGCGCCCAAAGCGCCTGCCCAAAATGCCCAAAGTGCCCAAAGTGCCTAAAGCCCTTTGAGAACCTTAAGTTTGAACAAGCTCACAGTGCCCGAGTCGCCGCATCCTCTTCCGCACGGCGCAGTTTCGCAACAAGCGGCGGGCGCAGAAGACCTGGTGGCAGGGGGGCAAGAACAAGAGTGACATGTTCAGCCTTGAAACCGGACAGTAAGTTGAAGTGTTCTCGTGAGGAGTAAACCTTCCATTGCTTGTCAGGGACCGTTCTGTTCCCGTGTGTTGCGCCACGCCGTCCGCAGAAGGGACATCACGTTTTCGCTTTGATCCTCAGCGGATGCATAGGTCATCATAGGTCATGGACCAATGGAGCGCTTCATGCTTCAACCTTTCTGCCGTCTGATGCCGCCGAATAGCAAAATAACAAACAATCGGCGATCTGAAGCTAGAGAAAACAAATGGAGGAAGCGACACGGAAAGGAGGACGGCACTCGCGAATTCATCCGGGAAGCACTGGGCACGCCCTTGAGGTGGAACGGCCGCACCAGAAGGCCCAGCTTCGGGTCCTTTATGCTGCCGTCCTGGCTTGGAACCAACAACAACCAGCCCTCAACCCTCAAATCCATCCCGGACCTTCAAGCTCTTTCGCAATGTAGAAAGGCAGGGACGACTCGGGAGGCCCAAAATGGCCCATTGAAACTCATGAAGCTCATGTGTCTTTAGCCGGCACAGCCCTGTAGCCGGTGTGAACGTCTAACTCCCGCTTCGTGGCCTTCAGGACGTACCCGCGTTGACCTGATCTCTGCGCATTAAGCAACTCACATCGTAGTAAAGAAGCTTGCAATGCACCAGTTCCAAGCATCAAAACCCAACAGAAATTTCTCGACCTAAGTCACTGCTTTACAGAGCACCAGGCGTTCGAGACGCACCCAGTCGTCGTTCTCGGGACTTCCCAACCTCAAAGCGTCACGCAAATTACAAACTTCGCGAAAAAGAGTGCAGCCCACCGCCCGCACAACTGTCCGAGAGGCTCTTCGAACAGGAGCTCCTTCTCATGGCACAAGCTCTGCACCTAAGACCATCAGCTTGTGAGGATCGAGCGTGAAGGTCCATGGCATCTAACAGATTTGGAAATGGAGAAAACGTTGCTGTTTAGGAGGGTGGCTTATCCATCAAACTTCATCAACACCAGAAGATCTCACAGTAGCTAAAGCTTTGATGTCTCTGCCGCGCAACGGCTGCGTCCACGTCAGGCTCCCTCCGCACGATGACTCGGAGGACGCATACCTGCGCCAGTATGGTCTGAGAAGTGAGCGATATACCATGAGGCTTTCACATCATAGGGGGACGACTTGTATTGTGCCGATTGGCGGCGTTTACAACTATACGCTGATGGTGGTGGTGGTGGTGGTGGTGGTGGTGGTGGTGGTGGTGGTGGTGGTGGTGGTGGTGGTGGGTGGTTGTGGTTGGTGGTGGTGGTGGTGTGGGGGTGGGGTGGGTGGTGGTGGGTGGGTGGGTGGTGTGGTGGTGGGTGGTGGTGGGTGGTGGGGGGTGGTGGTGGTGGGTGGTGGTGGTGGGTGGTGGTGGTGGGTGGTGGTGGTGGGTGGTGGTGGTGGGTGGTGGTGGTGGGTGGTGGTGGTGGGTGGTGGTGGTGGGTGGTGGTGGTGGTGGGTGGTGGTGGTGGGTGGTGGTGGTGGGTGGTGGTGGTGGGTGGTGGTGGTGATTGGTCGCAACTAGCATGTCGTGCTGGGTTTATTGGGTTGTTTTTGCTTTTGTTTCCACAATGTCCTGGTGATGATGACATGCTGTTCGTGTGATCCTTATATGTGAGTGGCCAGCCCCAGCCGATTGTTGCCGCGTCTGAGTTAAGCGGTAAAACTCGGCCGCACTTTCCATGATGATGATGACTGCTTTCAGTATTGATATTGCCGCTTCCACTTCTTGCAGCTTACGTGCGTCATGCGGTTGACGAACGCAACATTCTCAGCGTGTTTAATCCCATGGCTCGTGGAGGGGTTTAAGAGGTCGTCTTATCCGAGCATATGAAGTTGCATTCAATTTCAATTTCAAGCCAGTCTCAGCACGCTTCATCCAATGGCTCGTGCGAGCATCGAAACCCAATCCTCATCGTGGCGAAGGATCTTGCATGCAATTTCAATATCACTGTTGCTGTTTGCAAGCTATTGATAGCGATCTTCAATGCCATCCTTGAGCGAGAAAGCCACTTAATTAAGAATCACAGTACCGACATTTGACAAACCCACTGCCACTATACAAACCCACTACCATTAAAAAAAGAATCAAATTTGTTGTACATTCGCCTTGGCCCCGGCCGGACCCCTGTCTTCCCCCACGAAAGTCCGTGTTTATAAGGTTCCATCTTCCGTGGGCCTATGAATCCCTAGCGGCGGCATGTTCGGTGGCTCAATACAGTGGCTCGGCAGTTCAAGCTTGGGAACATCTACTTTTCAGTTTTGCTTTTGGAACCAAATATTGTACATTACTGGAGGCAGCTGGTGCCCCTTTCTGTGACTTGGAGCATGGTGCGACCGCATGCGGCTTCATAGATTCGCATCCGGCTCGGCAGCCCCAAGGCTCGGCAGCCCCAAGGCTCGGCCCCCCTCGAGGTTTATAGCATAGAGTGCCTCTACAAGGGGAGGAATCCAAAAAAGAAGGTGCAGTCTGCCGATTGGATATCCTGCCGGCCGACCGCCCCGCCTATCACCCTTTCAACCCATACCTTTCAAAATCATCTCAACTCCCGAGACCAGTTTTACGCCAAACAGTCTTACATGAGAATCTCAGTTGATGACCTCCAAATACTCGGCCTTATTATTTAGAAGCGCACCCACCCTGCGTACCTTCCTCCCTTAGCCAAAAGTTTGCCAGCCCCCCCCCCCGGTGGTCATCAAAGAAAACAACACCTTCTTCAGCCTGCTACTTGACAACACGAAGAATGAGTTGAAGAAGCAAAGTCCTGACTGAAAATCGGAGCTTTTGCAGTTGAGGGCTATGACCCGGTCTTCTGCATTCATATTTCTTCAGCCAGGGCCTCCCAGACGCCCGGTCGGTACTCCGGACCTGTTGAGCTGAGGCCGCGCTGCTTCCTTTGGTGACCCTAAACCTTAGACCCTAAACCCTCAACCCCAAGCCCCAAACCCTAAACCACCTCTAGAGTCTTACGCAATCTGAGCCGGGACAGCTCCTCGAGCTTGAAAGCCTAACTTCGGCTTTGGGGGATTTCAGGCGGTTTAAGGGTTAAGGGATTCAAGGGCAAGGGGGGAGTTCAAGGGGGTTAGAGGTAGAATTTACCTCCCAACCCCCAACCCTGACAGACCTGGAACCAACTCGGGGAGGTCGGCGAGGTCGTCCTCCGAGCTGGGCACGTCGCCTCGTCACTTTGCAGCTGCAGAGAAAGGAGGGTTTAGGGTTTAGGGCTTAGGGTTTAGGGCTTAGAGTTTTGGATTTAGGGCTTGGGGTTGACTGTGTCTGGTCGCAGGACGTCCCCATAAAGGGCCCAAATTCAGGGACCATGCAACTACCACTTGTCCCATTCAGCTGCGAATAGGGCTGAGGGTTCAAGGAAGGTCTCTCATGAACGAGAAGGTTCATGGTGAGTGAGAAGTAGGCCTGCATTATCCACCTTCTTGGGGCCAGAAGTTCAGATACCCTATGAAAAAAATCCCCGGATGGCCCCAGGGTTGCATCCTCTCAGCCTCATCTCTAGGCACCGCCCCCCCCCCCCCCCAAACCCCAAACCCTAAACCCTAAACCCTAAACCCTAAACCCTAAACCCTAAACCCCCCCGCTGCCCCCCTGCCTGGCCACACCTCGGACAGGTCATCCAGGCCATCGCAGGTGGGCGCCTCGCAGCACGGGGGGAACCGTACTCCCCTTAGAACCTCAATAAAAATAATGTTTTTAATATCCTCTTGGGTTTTTTTATAAACAAAAATACAAAAAAATGTCCAAGGGAAGACCCTCGCGAAACTGGGAGGCCAGTCCATCAAGGCGAAGATGGGTAAAAAAGTAGAACCGTGGCACGCGTTTTGGGCGAACTGCCAATGTCATGGACACACCTGAGGTTCAAGGTCAAAAAACGAGAGCTGTGTAAAGTAGATTGGGTTGGAGGAGGGGGGCCAAAAGGCCTTTTGGGACCCGTTTGTTGCTTTTTTTGCTGCCTCTTCGTCCGTCAAGTCCACGGCGGCGCCTCTCGAGGGCAGCTTTATAGGAGGCTCTGATCTCACTGATCTCACGTTGCAGTGCTGTCCTCTCTGAGTCCTCTGTCTCTGTGTCACCCCCCCTGTTCCGCAGCGTTCGCTTCACTGATGCGGACTACGCGAGTCTATGTCTAAAGTGAGCGGTGCAGCGTCTTGTCCTGCCGGCGCTAGGATGCATCAAAGTACTTGGATTCAAGTACCGGTGCTGACCAGACAAAAGCACAAAAGCCACAAGACAAGAACCAGGGGGTAAAGCGCAACTTCGCTTCGGTGTCCACACGGTGCCTGCGGCCACATCGATCTTCGCATAGGCCTTGGGAGAGGATACTGGCTAGGGCCTTTCATCCCCAAGGTGTCCCCTTGTGAAAAAGAGCACTGGGAACTCGGAACTCGGAACCACGCGGAGCGCAAAAGAGTGCAAACTACGCGGACCTTCTCAAGCTCATCGAAGTCGAAGATGGTGCTGGTGGCGGCCGTGTCGACGGTCATCGCAGCCCCGCATGAGAGCCCGGGTGGGGCCGTTTTAAATTCCGAGTTGCTGAGTGGCTGAGTGGTTGAAGTTGGGGGGTGGCTGAATGAAGGATTCATGCGGGGGCAGCTCAGGCTGAGTGAGGCTGAGGTTTTGCGGATCAGATGATCCTATGATCCCTGGATCCGGACTTGCCTCCAAGGCACTCTACTTCTGAGCGCTAAATACTGCTGCGGGGGGTATCCTGTATCAAAACTGCTCTGTGGGCAATGGCACTCGCTCAGGTGGTGTTCCAAAAACCCAAAAACAAGCGATGACCACTACCGGGGCAGATGCTACACTGAACCGCCCTGCCCGCCCCGACTTCCTGACCTCCCCACAAAAAACACAGCTCATCCCCCAAATCCCCTAAACCCTACACCCTAAAACCCCGAAGACCCTCAAGCCCTGAGACCCTCAAGCCCTCAAGCCCCCTAAACCCTAAACCTCTGAGATCCTGGATCCTGGGGCCCAGGACTCCTCGGAGAACCAGTCGTCGCGGGACACGCCCTGGAGCGAAACGCGCGCTGCGACGGGAGGGCTTCTCTGAGGCAAAGTCAGGGTTCCTAAACCCGAAACCCTAAACCCTAAAAGGGTCGCGGCCTCCTTCTTGGGACGGACCTCCTCACCCTTGGCTTTCTTCTCTTCCTCTTCGTCCCACATGGCGCGGACCTCCCAAGAGGGCTACAACACAGACTTCCCAAACTCCATGCTCGGCTGATGTGCTGGGAAGATGTGGCATTCTCGTACTGGCATGGCGTGAGATGTCGCAACTTCTTCAGCATGGGAACCTATGCTTTATTCCATCGTGCAGACTGAGTACATCGGAGCACACAAACACCTGTGGATCTGAGATCGTAAAGGACGCTTGAACATGACACGAGTAGGGCAACGTAAAGGTCTGGGTCGTCCTGACAAAGCTGAGTCAGGGAAATAAGCGTCTATAGTGGCACTAACCGTCACCCGAGCGTGTGGGTTCCGCAGGCCTTGTCCATAAACACCTTATACTCTGAATTCTTCTCTTCATCAGGGACGACCATCCGGTCTTCGATCGGAATCTCCTTCGCGCCGCGCAAGAAAGTCTTCAAACATGCTTCCTCACTTCTCAAAAGGCGCGAGCCACGCATGAGGCTCATGGGACGAGCAGCTGCGTGCTCGAGACATGCCGGTATCAGAGTGTCCTCGAGCTGGCGCCGGCTGTTGGTCAGCATGTGGTCCGGCAACTGCACAGAAAGCAGGGGAGGGCGGGTGCTCGAAAGACGAGCGAGAAGCAAAAAGCAGTCGAAAACCAAGAACCAACACAAATCTTCCCCAAGGAATCCCACCAAAACAAGTCCCCAGCATGTCCCGAAAACAGCCCAGAAAAGCCCCCCCCCCCCACCCCATCCCACTCAGCTGTGAACCTGGAAGTTGGCCAGCTCGGGCATCTTCGGCAGCACGTCACGCCACTCCTCTCACTTCTCAGCACTTGCACCCAGGCGAGATGGGGACTTTCTTGCGAGAGATGTCTCGGAAGACCTAAAAAAACTCTTCCACCCCTTTTGAACCCTAAAACCCCCCTTTTTGTTGGGTCTTGGGGCTTAGGGCCCAAGGGCTGAGGGCTTGGGGCCTCAACATCCTCCAAACCCTGCGCCAGCCTCCTCATCGCCAAAGTCAATGGTGTACCTGAGAGAGCCGGAGCTTCTGTTCGGGACAGGGTTCGAAAAAGATGTATCACATATTGCATAGTATATAGTATGTGGAATGTTACAATTCTACTATAAGTACTTATGTTACTCGTTTACTCATGTACGTCTTGACCCTTTTTTTACCTAATTTGTTTCATGTAGCAGCTCACCTGAATCTGAGTCCCGAAAGCCTCGGGACCGAACAGTGGCAGCTAGGGCCGGCACTCCACACCCCAGTCTTTTACCTGGACCACAAGGGTGTTTCCGAAGTTGGGGCGGGTACCTTGTTGGGGTCCCTACTATCAGGGAATGCTACTCTTTGGGTTTCTATGTTAGGGGTCCCCTATTGTCGTAAACCCCCACAAGGATTGCAGGGACCAGAAGAGAGCTAACCAAGAATTCCTGGCAGGCTCTTCCCAGAGCAACGGCTCGGCATTTGAAAAGGGGGAGGAGTCTAAAGCGCACCTGCCGGTTGAAGCGGATCGTGGGGTCCGTGTAGAGCTCCGGAACGGTGGCCTCGAAGTACCTCTCCGCACGTGAAAATCTGACAAAAACCCCCCCGGCCACAGGAAGCCCTGGCTGCCTTCCTAAGTGGTAGCCTCTTCGGCAGGCTCGTATCTTGCCACGTGTAGCATAACATGAAGCCAACCAAGCTCAAGCACAAGCAGCCACAAGCGTGCATGCCAAAATCAAGTAACACTCTGCAACAACACAGAAAAAGTCGTGAGAAAGGGTTTCCAGTCGTGCGAAAAAAACACAGAAATCGAGCACAAAGACACTCATGCGAATTCAGAGGCTTGAGGCTCAACCATGCAAGCGCTTTGAAAAGGGGGCGGTCCGAGTTTTTTGGCGATGCTAAGCCTTCTATGGCTCTATGGCACAGGGGCGTCTCTCAGTCGGACTGAAGGATCCGCGCATTCGGGACCTGCAGGTGAGCAAGCGGCTGCTTCAAAACCTCCACAAGGAATGCTGTGTGGCCCGCTTGGCCAAGCAATTGAAGGAACGTCCAGTCTGAAACCCACCAAAGCTTCTACCAGGGGCCCTGCAACACTTCTACCCGTCGCCTCTTCGACATGCTTGCCCGCGGAGATCACGGGGATCCGTAGGGTTGCAGGTGCGGCAGAACGCCTAACATAGGCACAGCTTGTCACTTGTCAGCTTGTTTTTTTCAGAAGATTTTCACAGGAGGTCTAAAGCGGCTATAAAGGGCACAAAAAACCCGGCAGCTGAAGCACGCGGACGCAGAGAGTTCACCATAGGATGCTCTCAAGGAGGCACAGAAGGCCGCAAGCGTGGCTACGTGGGGGCTTTTGAGCGCCGGACTCTACAAGGTAGCCCAGGCAGAAGGCCCTTCCAACCTTTTCAGCAGAAGTTGCTGGCGGACCCTTGCAGGAAGGGCTGCTGGGCCTGTCCTAGATGCAGAGGGCCAGGCTCCAGGCTCTCACGTGAGCACACCAAGGGTTTAGGGTTTAGGGCTTAGGGTTCAGGGTTCAGGGTTTAGGGTTTCGGGTTGAAAAAGACTGCTGGCCTCCCCATTACTTCTCTTGGCAAACCACCGGCCTCCTCCATGGTCTTCTCCACGATGGGCTGCCACCCTCGCCGCTGGACCATCCCTGGAAGGCCACCATAAGCAACCCCACGGGAGCTCCCAAATCCCTACATCCCCAAATGTTGCCTGAAGCCCCAAAAACCACTCGAAAAACCCCCCTAAACCCCTACACCTTCCAAGAAGAAGACCCTAAACCCTCAACCCCCCTCAACCCCCCTCAGCCCTCCTCAAAACCCCCCCTCAACCCCCCTCCCAACCCCCCCCGATGCCCCGCAAACCCCCCCCCCCCCAAAGAGCCGAGAAGGGCCGCGCCTCGCGCCGATCGCGCAACGAGAGCCGTGAGGATGCGATTGGACCTCAGGGTTTCGGGCCTCGAGGGGCTTAGGGGCTTAGGGGCTTAGGGGGGTTTAGGGACTTCAAGGGGAGGAAGGTTTGAGTTCAGGGTTAAGGTGTTTGGCTGGGAGGTTCGGGGTGGAGCATTGAGGGGTTTTGGGGTTTAGGGGAAGGGAAACCCAGCAAGGCTCGAGAGGGTGCTGTCAGGGCTCGGAGTGTCGCACGTTGCTTTTCAGCAGCTTGTGTGCGCCTGCGCTGGGCAACCCTGCAGTCTGCTGCCCACCACGGTGCGGGAGCGGCGAATTACGTTGACCTGGCAAAAGGCTCACAAGAGGAGTTCCTCCATGTCTTGGTCCATGTCCATGATGCTGTGCACGTGCCGTTGTGTCGCTGGCATTGTTCTCAAGGTCTCATCGAAGAGAAACGGTGCTGTGAGAGACGCGCGTCTGCCAAATCTGCGCCCGAGAATGGGGGTCGGAAGATCACGCACATAAACGGATCAGGCGACCCGACAGCAGACAGACGGTGTTCATATTTGTTCTTACTGCTTGAGGAGAACTTCCTTCCTTGCGAATCGCAGCAGAAGACATCAGGACACCCTCACGGCCCTCACAGGACTACCCAACACGATCCCTGCAGAACTCCCCGACCCAGATCCGCCGGCGGGGCCAGCGTTCCGGCAATGCCCTTCAAGGGCACCGACTGCAGAAGCACCCAGCTGTCCTAGACGTGGGAGAGTGAAGGATCTAAGGATCTCAGGGAACATATGATGGGTTTAGGGTATAGGTGTTCAGGGTCTTCTGGCTTCGGAGTAGCGGCCGTGGGAAACCTGCACAGGGTGGGGACCCTGAATCCCAACACGCTGCACTTCCCCCAAAGGCCTTCAGAAACCCCGACGCCCCGAAGCTCTGAACCCTGAACCCTCCACCGTTTCAGTCAGCTCGAGGCGGGCTCCTCGTCGTCCCAGCGCCTCGCGATGGACCGGGTGTAGGGCTTAGGGGTTTCAGAGTTTAGGGTTTAGGGTTTAGAGGGCCAAAGGGGTTTCAGTTTTCGAGCTTGGTATGCTTTAAGAGCTCTGACCATCCCGACTGCGCCGCCTCTTCCGAACCGTGCCACCGTGCCCCATGCCCCTCGGCGGCAGCCAACCCCCCCCCCCCCTCCGCATGATTCTATATATATATATATATATATATAGATAGATAGATGTAAATGGTAATCCTAATCATGATCATCGCTCTCGTAGAACGATCATAACCACAGCCATGAACATAACAGGTACAAGTACAAGTCAAATCGCAAGTGCAACGATCATGATACTTGCAGTGGTTCTAGTTTAACGACCGACGACTAAGAAGAACAAAAAAGTATAGATTAAGAGACAAACCTCAAAAAACAGTAGGCAATAGCCAACAATGTTCGTCATCATGTCCTTTGTGCTCAAACTACACGAAAGCAACAAACGAACCAATACGTTCGTTAAGTGATGATGGCAATGACGAAGATGGCGGATCTTGAAGATGACGATGGTAACGATGGTGACGATGACCACAGAGATTGCGACGACAATGATTGGCCTGACACGATGACGACGACGATGGGCTCTGAAGACCCGGGGCGCGCACCCGTAGAAGCGGAGCACCAGCATCGCCTTGGACATTGTCAGCACGTCCTCCACGGGGCTGAGGTTGCTAAGGAACTTACACTACCATAATATGAGGACTTGGGGTTGAACAAAATCACATGGCTTCCGGACTATGGCAATCATAGTCGAAGATCCTCAGCACCCAGGAAACGAACGAGAAGAGTCTCTTGTTCCCCCCCTGTTCTTAACCCTAGAGACCTTGAACCCAGGGGGCTTCAAAGAACGAACGTTCGAGGTCGCGCCCTTTCCCGAAACTCGGCAAGCCGAACATTCCTAAACCCCGAAGCCTACTGGTGAACCCTGAACCCTAAGCCACAAAGTATACTGGGATTTGCGGTTGAGAGGTTTTTAGGGATCCAGCGGTCGAGGGCCTACAGGTTAACCAGGTTTCGAGGTTTCGGAACATGGAGAGCAAATTTTGTTGACGGTTTCTCTCTTCTTGGCTTTTGGTCCCAAACCCTGCTATCAACTCCTAAGAAGCTGTTCCCCTAAACCCCAACTACTAAACCCTAAACCCTAAACCCTTCTGACCCCAAACCCTACATGTCCTTCGGCTCCTGGAGAGCCTGAGACGGTTTCCTCTTCTTCCTCGGCACGGACTTCAATACCCCGTCGTGGAGCACATCTGGCCGCTACGGCTGACAGAGTCAGAGTGCCCAGGCTCATCAGATTCAATTTGGGATGTTCCCCAGGGAATCATGGTACCCCCCCTCCTATGAGAATACCTATCAAGGACTGTTAGTATAAGGGGGAACATCCCAAGATTGTTTGCTGGCCACTGGCCATGGCCGAACCGGGGAAAACAAGCAACGAGCTGGAAGGGTTGAGGGCTTTAGGGTCTAGGGCTTCCACTTGAGGCGTGTCTGAGGTCAGAACGCTTTGGTCTTGCCCTTGCCCTGGCCTGCATCAAGCACTGGTCAGTAGCCGAGGCTGGAACTCGGGGGCGCTTTGGTCAGATCCATGTTGATCCACCGTTTAGGGGTACCGGGCCCCTTTGTTGAGGGGTAAAAAAGTGGAACTGGAGGCACTGATGGTTAATCAAGCCCACACCAAAAACTCAATGGATGCCCCCCCCCCCCCCCCAAAGTCCCCAACCCTCAAGGGCTTGGGGGCTTAGGGCTTAAGGGTCTGAACCTTCGGGTTTAGGGCTTCAGGCTAAGGCTTTTTAAAGCTTAGGGGGTGGAGTGCTTTAGGGCTTCAGGGCTTCAGGGCAACCCTCCCCTTCTCAGCCTCCCTCCTGGCGAGGCTCAGCCTGGTCACAGGGTTCAGGGCTTCGGGTTTGGGTTTAGGGCTCAGGGTGAACCAAAACTGTTAGCCTTTAAGATTCGTGCTCGGTGTTCCTAACCTCAGACAAAGTCTTGGTAGCCAGCAACCCTACTATAACTTGGGATGTGCACCCCTTATACTAACAGTCCTGGATAGGGAATATAACAGGGGGTACGATAATCCCCAGTAAGGACTGTTAGTACAAGGGGGAACATCCCAATTATTCTAACAAGGGTAGGGTAATGCATCCCTCCAAGTCACCGGCCTCCCTGAAGCCAGGAAGGCCCTGCTTCGTGGCGGTGAGGAGAACCGCGAAGAGGATGCCCCTTATCACGTCAGGGCAGTATGGGGCTCATGCGCCCTAAACCCTAAACCCTAAACCCTAAACACTAAACCCTAAACCCTAATCCCTTAACCCTGCGGTCAGTGGGGTTTAGGCTTTGGGGGGCCCAACCTCAACACTAAAAACACACTCTTCAGCCCACCCTAAATCCCGAACACTATACAACCCCTAACCTTAAACCTTACCTCTTACACATCCAGAACCCTAACCGAAAAATATCAACCATGAACCATAAGCCCCAACACACACACACACACACACAAAAAAAAAAAAAAAAACTAATAATAATAATAACAACAATAATTAAATGAAGATATATGAACTCCAAAGCCCCAAAGCCCCAAAACTCCCAAAGCCGTACACATCCTGTCAGTATCATTCCGAACCTTCATC